TTCTAAGCAAATGGGCCCTGCCTTTAGAATTCTCCACCCATCGCCAGCTCTGCAGCTTGGCTTCACTCCCTGATAATTGTATCCCCTACGTTGCTGGCTCAGATCCAGTGCCAGCCAATCCCAAGCCTTCCCGGAACCTTACACATGAGTTCCAGCAACAATGAATTACCCATTAGAGCACTATTGCAATTGGGACTATGGTTGCCTGCCAGAGACAATACTGTGCTGCAATGGCTTGCTCTGATAGGGGGGTTTATTCATCTCCTACAATAAGGAATATGCAGCCAACAGCTGGGAAGACAGCTCATCTCCACACTTCTGCTCTGCCATCCTTAGCTTTCTTCCTCAGATCTTTTGTCTCATGGTTCCAAGATAGCTGCCGCCCTTCCAGACCTCAGGCGTGCATTAAAGACAGAACATAGGGAGTGCCTGGGTGGCTCAGTCAGTTAAGCACCTGAGCCTTCAGCTCAGGTCATGATCTCAGGGTCCTGGGATCAAGCCCCACGTGGGGCTCTCTGCTCAGCAGGGAGTCTGCTTCTCCCTGTCACTCTCCCTCTGTGCTTTCCCTCTCTCTCTCTAATAAATAAATAAAATCTTAAAACACACACACACACACACATAGCAGATAAGAAAAAGAAGCAACAGGAGTGGTGGGGGGTGGGAGGGATGGGGTGGCTGGGTGATAGACACTGGGGAGTGTATGTGCTATGGTGAGCACTGTGAATTGTGCAAGACTGTTGAATCACAGATCTATACTTGTGAAACAAATAATGCAATATATGTTAAGAAAAAAAAAGAAGAAGATAGCAGGAGGGGAAGAATGAAGGGGAGTAAGTCGGAGGGGGGGACAAACCATGAGAGAACAAACTGAGGGTTCTAGAGGGGAGGGGGGTGGGGGGATGGGTTAGCCTGGTGATGGGTATTAAAGAGGGCACATTCTGCGTAGAGCACTGGGTGTTATGCACAAACAATGAATCATGGAACACTACATCAAAAACTAATGATGTAATGTATGGTAATTAACATAACAATAAAAAATTTAAAAAAAAAAGAAAAAGAAGCAACAAAGACTATACTTATATCCAAAAATGAAAGCTTTCCCAGAAATCCTCAGCTTATGAGTCACGGGCTAAAAGTATGTCGCATGGTCACATCCAGCTACAAGGGAGTCTGAGAAGTAGGTATTCTTAGGGGGAAACACTGACATACACATAAAATATGGGTAATGTTAGTAAGGAAAAAGGATAAATTAATATAGGGTAAAACAGGGGTTGGCAAACTATAAGCAGTGAACCACATCTGGCCCGTGGCCTATCTTTATAAATAAAGTTTTATTGAAACACAGCTGCACCCATTTGTTTACAACACTATAGCAGCAGTGTTGACTAGTTGCTACAGAGACTGTATGGCTTACAGAGTCTAAAATATTTACTTTCTGGTCATTTACAGAAAAAGTTTGCCAGCTCATAGGGTAGACACTTAGTAGCGTCTACCACAAGTACCAGCAAAGGAAAGACATAATATTTTTTCTGGAAAGAATATATTATTTTCAAAAGAACATTCCAATCTTCATAAGAAAAATCAGATATGGAAAGAATCCAAATGTCCATCGAAAGATGAATGGATAACGAAAATGTAGTTGTATATACAATAGAATATTACTCAGCCATCAAAAGAATGAAATTTTGGGGCACCTGGGTGGCTCAGTCATTAAGCGTCTGCCTTTGGCTCAGGTCATGATCCCGGGGCCCTGGAATCAAGCCCCGCATCAGGCTCCTTGCTCCGCAGGAAGCCTGCTTCTCCCTCTCCCACTCCCCCTGCTTGTGTTCCCTCTCTCGCTGTGTCTCTGTCAAATAAATAAATAAAATCTTAAAAAAAAAAGAAAGAAATTTTGCCATTTGCAATGATGTGAATAGAACTAAACAGTATTATGCTAAGCAAAATAAATCAGTCAGAAAAGACATTATATGATTTCACTCCAATATGGAATTTAAGAAACAAAACAGATGAACATAGGGGAAGGGAAGGAAAAATAAAATAAGATAAAAACAGAAAGGGAGGCAAACAGGGAACAAACTGAGGGTTGCTGGAGGGGAGGTGGGGGGGGCGTTGGGGGGATGGGGTAATTGGGTGATGCGCATCAAGGAAGGCACGTGATGTAATGAGTGCTGGGTGTTATATGCAACTGATGAATCACCAAATTCTACCCCTGAAACTAATAATACACTGTATGTTAACTAAATTGAACTTAAATTTAAAATTTTTTTAAAAAGAAAAATCAGAACACTTTTTGCTCTGCTTACATTTATGTTACAGTTTAGTATTAATTTTTAATTTTGAATTACATATGGGATAAATGAGGAGCCTCATAAACTTTCAGGGCTTAGGGACAATAAAGGTCTTAAATTGGCCTTGATTTTTCAAGCACTTCTTCTGGTGGTCTGACTTCCATTCATTCCACAAATAGGTACTGAGCATCTACTATGGCAGGTGTGTGCCAGGTGCTGGATAAGTACAAGATGGATGAATAGATGGCTGAATAAATGGATGGATGGATGGATAGATAGGTAGGTAGATATAGACAGGTAGGTAGGTAGGTAGGTAGATAGATAGATAAACTGAGATAGAGCAAGAAAGAGAGTCGGAGGTCATTGTAATTATGTCATGCCTTCTCAATTTTGCCTAGAGAATAAGTACATAAAAAGAAGGGAATATAGACTACAGTGGGTATGTGGCTAAAGGCAAATCTGCTGTATCAGAGATCCCTTTATAACTGCACAGGTACATGAAGAACATAAGTTGATCTCCCTCTCATTTAACAGTTTCAATGTAGGCAGTCCACATTGGCAAGTGTCTCTGCTCCACACAATCAGGGACCCTGGCTCTTTTCATCATATTGCTCACAGAGCCCCTAAGACATTCACTTTGCCTGCATGGTCACAGCTAGGCTATAGGCACATTTGGGTCCCAGGTTATGAGAAGAGGAGACAAGAGCATGGAAGGCACACACCTGAAGTCGTAGGGCCCAGACCTGGAAAGTAGCATCTATCACCTCCTTTTACCATCCATTAAGTCACATGGTTCACCTCCCCACAAGGGAGGCTGGGAAATGTAGTCTCTGGCTGGGCAACCACACGACCAGCTACCATCCAATTATCTTAGACAAATGAGAGAATGAATTTTGGTAGACAACTGGTAGTGTCTGCCACACAAAGTAGGCTCGTGAGTTCTTGTTGAACTCAGGGGTGAGATAGTTGACATCTGTGTGTTCCCAGAAATTCTCAGGCCCTACTGGTACAGATCCACTGTCCCCTACACCTGGGAGATTAGTTCTGGTCACTCTGTCTGGTAAAGATTACCTTCTGACTTCATTAGTGGCTCCTAGCCAAGGCAAGAATAGAACTCCACCCATAAGGGGCCCTCCTTCTTGGATTCTTACAGCATTACACCTGCCACGCTGATGACCTTATGTTCTACCTCACACCAAGTTCACACACTGGGTAATTACTCTTGACAAGACCTAAAACCTCACCCTTGATGAACGGTTTAGACAATTAGGAATCCTTAAGAAAAATTCAAAAGCAAATCAACTGTGCAAAGTGCACACCTCCCGAGGCCCTAGACCCCTAGGAAACACACCCCTCCCCCCTTTCCCTCATGAGGAACAAAAAGGATTGGAATCTGGGAAACTTGCCCCACTGGCCTATTACAAACCCTAAGCTAATGGTGGAATTTCAGGTAAAATGTAAAGAAGAGGAGAGATTAGAGACAGGGATACATTTTGGTCACCTGGCCTGCGGAAAGCCCAGGCTATGCCCCACATACCCAGCATGGACTGTCCCTGGTCTCTCTCAGGGAAGAGCATCTGACCTATATACAGTATGCATTTCTTCCCTAGGGCCTCAAAGTGGTAGCACATTCATCAGATAAATTAATTGTTAATGTGCCAAGGAGAAGGGCCCTTCCAGGAAACCAGAGCCTCTTGCAAACCAGTTTGCCCTGTTTGTCATTAAATTATTTGTCATAGTGAGACATCAGGACTAAGAGAGAAGAGCAGAGAGGACTTGATTGCTCTTAACACACTGAAACCCACAGCCTTCAAAGTTTAGCCCTGGGATGAGACCCTCCAAGTAGAATTCTGATGACCAGTTCAGTCCTTTTCAGTCCTTCGGTCCCCAAAAGGATAATCTGATCCCAAAGATGGTAAGATGACCAGATGGCAATCTCCCAGGAGACCAGCCCATAACCAGGAAGCAGGAAGTCCCATCTCTGGAGGAAGGGGGAGCAGCGGGGGACCCAGAGAGCAAGGTCCCGAGGCCTAATGATGGAAGAGAATAGGCCTGGGGCAAAGCTCACTCTGGGGCGTTTGCACCTGCCTTGGAGCTGCTGGAAGGTGCTTATTTCCCTGGAATGCTTCCGGTTCTGCATAGCCCACCAAGGGCTGTGTTAAATTGGGCCCAGAGTTTATGCAGTTAGCATGTGAGACTTTAAATGTACTCCACGGCTTTTACCCTCTTATGGAAAGTTTCAGATGTACACAAAAGTAAAATGACTCTTAGAAAATTATCAACACTGGGCCTATCTTGTTTTACCTACCCATCCATCTCTTTTTTTTTTCCTCTTTAGTATTCTGAGCATTTTAAAGCAAAACTAACACATCTCACATGTAAATTAAATGGTACTAATTAAATGGTATTTGAAATACTACAAACAGATGGTAGTCCCTACTTTCAACCATACCAGCCAGAGTAATGAGCAAGGAAGTTGGGGCCCCCTGGTATAATCCTGCTGGCCTCCTCCTTTTTACAAAGAGAACTCAGAAGTGAGCCGCCCAATGTTGGTGCCAGAACAAGAACCAGGGAGAAGTGGGCCCTCCAGGCTGCCTGGTGAGTGATGGACCCCAGTTGGTGCCAGACTTCCCAGGCCCGGTTCCTGGAACAGGGCAGAGAACCTTCGGCTTACTACCGGCAGGAAGCGGTTCCGGCGCGGGGCACGCGGCGGGCCAGGGATGAAGCCGGGTCCCGGGACGTGCAAGCGGCGGTAATTCGAGTGGAGTATCCCTAGCGGGCCGGGCCAGGGTACTGGGCTTCGGATGGCCTTGGAAACAGGAGGAGACTTGCTCCCACGACTGGAAGGACAACCCGGGGCCGAGGTCAGGCTGGGCCCCGGGTCGTCCCGCCGCCGCCTCCGGGCGCCACGTGGGGAGCAGGCGGGCGAAGTTGGCTTGGCGCCCACGCCCCGGGCTGGGAGCAGGAAGTCGTCTCCGGCGGGCGAGGCCCTAGGCGCGGTGCGGCAGGTGCGGCGCTGCAGGTGCGGCGCGGCAGATGCAGCGCTCGACAGAGCGGGCGGGAGGCCAGTGCGTTAGAGGAGGTGAGCGCGGGGTCGCCATCGAGGCCCGGGAACGCCAGCCCTGGGGCCAGAGCTAGCGGCTGGGCCCGGCTTGGGGAAGGGGTTTCTTAGAAGGGGGAGGGAGCCGGGGGGTGTGTTGCCTTGAGGCTCGCATATGGCTGTTCTCAAATGGGGCGGGGAGAGATCGCGCAGAGTGATTGAAGTCCTGAAGGGATGTTGTGGCCTCCGGCCTCAAGAAGCGCCCGGGGGGGAAGGGGGGTTGCTCAGGCTTGGAAGAGGGATGGTGGAAGTGAAAGTGGGGGAAAGGAAGGGAATGCGACAAGGGAGAGTGAGCTGGGGCTAGTATAGGGATGGGGGGCTGGTAAGGGTTCTCGCCCAGGGACTCTAGGCGCTGCCGAGGCTAAGGGGGTGCGGTCGGGCCCGGGATGGGGGAAGGGGGCGGTGGACCTGCTGGTGAGCGGAGTCGGGGAGCGGGGGGTAGTTAGCTTCTGGTGGAGACGGAGCTGGGGTTGGGGAGGGCTTTCAGGAAGGGGGCCGAGGCTCAAGCACCTATAGGAACCTTCCTCAGAGGCCGATCGCCCCCCCACCCCATCCCCGAGCGGGGAGTGCACAGGAGCCGAGAGGCGGTTGAGGGGCCCGGACGCGAGCCTGACTCTGAAGGCTGTTTCTCGCCGGCTGTGGCTTTAAGGCTGACGCCGGGCGCGTGGGCCCTTTAAGGAGGGGTCGGGGGCGTGTCAGGAAATGAGTCCTGGGCCCGCCTCGCGGGGGAGCGCTGCCTCGGATGTCGGGAGGCTCCGGGGCTGAACGCGAGCTGGGGCTCCGGAGGGCAGCGCGTTGCGGGCTAGGGCCGGCCCGGCCTCCTCCTGCGTCCTTCGGACCCCGCCCTGAGCACCTCTGACCTTCCCTGCACCCCTCTTTACAAACGCCCCCGCACGCCCTCCCTCCATTCAGCTTCCTGCATGCCTCCCCTTTTTCCCTGCAGCCACCCAGGCCTCCCTCTCTCTTCCCCACGCTGTCCGCCCTGCTCCAGCACCTTCGCCCTGCCTTCCTCCCCCTCCCTCTTCTTCCTTCCCTCTCCCCTCTCTTCTTCCAGAGACCCCTCCCAGGTACCAGCCCCTTCTCCCCTGACAGGTCTTCTGTCTAACCTTAGCCTCTTGTCACCCCTCCCCGTGTCTTGTCTCATGAGCCCCCTCAGAGTGGGAGCAGGTTGTGGGGCTCCTCCCAAAACAGAACCTCTTGGTGGGGAAGCCTCTAGGCCACCCCCCATGTGACAGTTGAGGGCTGCGGCTTGCAGAAAGCAGACGGGAGTGTACTGCCCTGTACTCGAGTTCTGGCTGTAGGGTGACCCAGTTCCTCTGCTGCCATGAACAGGGCCCCTCTGAAGCGGTCCCGGATCCTGCACATGGCACTGATGGGGGCCTCCGACCCCTCAGGAGAGGCAGAGGCCAGCAAGGAGAAGCCCTTCCTGCTGCGGGCTTTGCAGATCACACTGGTGGTGTCACTCTACTGGGCCACCTCCATCTCCATGGTGTTCCTTAACAAGTACCTGCTGGACAGCCCCTCCCTACAGCTGGACACCCCCATCTTCGTCACCTTCTACCAGTGCCTGGTGACCACCCTGCTGTGCAAGAGCCTCAGCACCCTGGCCGCCCTCTGCCCTGGCGCCATGGACTTTCCCTCCCTGCGCCTGGACCTTAGGGTGGCCCGCAGCGTCCTGCCCCTGTCCGTGGTCTTCATCGGCATGATCACCTTCAACAACCTCTGCCTCAAGTATGTCGGGGTGGCCTTCTACAATGTGGGCCGCTCACTCACCACCGTCTTCAATGTGCTGCTTTCCTACTTGCTGCTCAAGCAAACCACCTCCTTCTATGCCTTGCTCACCTGCGGCATCATCATCGGTGAGTGGCCAGCCAGGGCCATGGGGAGTGGGGAGGCATGGGGGGGAACCCCAAAGAGCAATGCTGCCAAGCATCTTTGGACTTTATCTCTCCCGGTTCCCTTGCCCAAAGTCATGTGAGGAAGAGCCTGGGGCCCAGAGAGCATAAGCTTCCTGAGGTCGCCAGCAAGTTAGGGGCCCAGCCAGGGCCCCTCATAACAAGATGGGATTATAATCTACATCTCACAGAGGGGAAAAAAACCAAGGTAGAGAGAAGTCCAGTAATTTGTTGACAATCACACGGATAATAAGCGGCAGAGCTGGAATCTGATCTCAAGCAGTCTGGCTCCATATGCTTAACCACGGTATTGCTTCTCAAGAGTTCAAGTGCCCTGACTCCCCATCCAGCACTATTTCCAAAGGAGACTACATCTTCAATTTTTTTTTAAAGGTTTTATTTGACAGAGAGAGACAGTGAGAGCAGGAACACAAGCAGGGGGAGTGGGAGAGGGAGAAGCAGGCTTCCCGCTGAGCAGGGAGCCCGATGTGGGACTTGATCCCAGGACCCTGGGATCATGACCTGAGCCAAAGGCAGACGCTTAACGACTGAGCCACCCAGGCGCCCAGGAGACTACATCTTCTAATAAATATACCATCACCCTCTGACTTTGCAGGCTCGTAGTAATGGCTAAGAGAGTAGGGAGGAATAAGCTTTGAGAAGTTTTAGCTGTCTTTCCCCACTTGACCCTTAGAAAGGAAGAATTATCTATGGGGACTTTGTGCAGATCATTCACACATAGCATCTCCTTTGTTCCCCAGAGGTCCCCTGAATGGTAGCGTCACCCTCATCAACTCCCCACAAACAAGGAAACTGAAGCTCAGAGAGGTTAAGTTACTTACCCAGGGCCACACAGCTAGGAAGTAGCCAGGCAGGGGCACAAACCCAGATTGGCCAGCTTCCCAGGCCTATGCTTTTAACCCCTCTGCTTTGTTCTTGTGCACTAGAGATTGTGTGTGCACTAGCTGACCACCTGTGTCTATTTCAATTTAAGTTCATTCAAATGCAGTGACATTTTTAAAATTCAGTTCTTCAGTTGCAGGTGTTATAACCTGATTCTGTAGCCACATTTCAAGCGCTCAGTAGCCACATGTGGCCAGTAGCTACTGCATTGGGCAGAGCAGATGATAGAACATTTCCATCATCACAGAATGGTTTTTTTGCAGCATTCTGGGTAAGGGAGCACCCGCTTCCCTCAGAATCCTCCCAGCACTCTGTCATTCAGGAATGTGGTCTTTCTTCGAAACTGTTTTTCCTGGGGCCGTAAAGTTCATGTTGATTGACCTACATACTCTTTGCTGGTGTCTCAGAGTCCAGCCGAGGCACACTGGTGCCACCCGTCCTAGAAAACGTCACCGTCATCGAGCAACTGCTGGATCTCAGACTCCTCAGTCCAGCCCCAAGATGGGAGAGGGGAGAAGGCTGAGGTTAGAACAGAAGGAGCTGCTGAGACCCCTGGCAGATTTTCAGAGCCCCCCACCACCCCGTCCCTCCAGAGCCGATGCAGAGTCCCAGGCCTCACTTAGCCAAATGCCCCAGGAATCTCCATTTGAGCCCTGCAGACTGGCAGGAGGTGGGGGGGGGAGGGGGAGAATGGGGAACCTGGGGTGTGGGGGGGGACAATTTGCATACAGAAAGGTGAAGTCACTAGGGAAACTAGGCCCAGATCCTAAAAGTAATCAAAGTAGCTGATGGCCCCTGAGAAAGGGCATTCGCTGACCATACTGATGGGGCCAGGCTGGGGCGGCTGGTGCTCCCTGCTAGCCCCAGGCCTGGCCCCCTCTCGGTTGGGCTTCCCCTTAAGATGGGTCTCCAGCCCCTGCAGCTTTCATAGTACCCTTCAGAGCTCCTTCTGGGTGCGAGCCCCTCTAGGATGCAGAACCTCGTGGTGGGTGCCCCTTCTGGACTTGGAAAGTAATTAGCAGGAGGACGGAGGGTGCTCTGGCCAACCCTCCACACCCCCAGAGCAGGTATACAGGCAGCTGTTTGCCAAGGCTCTGCCAAGAAAGAGAATACCGTGCCTGAGTGTATGTAGTAGATGCTTTATCTCCTTCAACCCTCAAAGCCACCTTCCAAACAACCTCCATTCCCATGGTTGCTCAGTCAGTCAACAAACACTAACTGCCGGCCAGGCACATGACAGAGACCATGCCAAACTTTGGGGATACGAATTTGGCAAAGGTGGACAGGGCGCCTGTGCTCCCGAAGGGCGTGGTGGTGGTGCCTGGCAGTGAGTTCTGCTGCGGGGGTGAGGCTGTGATGGGGGTGTAGAAGAGAACCTGGTGGGGGTGGAGAGGAAGACGGGGTTGGGAATGGGGTAATCCAAGCAGGCGTTCTGGAGGAAGTACTAGATGGGTATAAGGAAGGGGTGAGGAGAGAATGTTCTAGACAGAAAAAAGTACTGTGCGTTTCTTCCTGTTTGGGCCAGAGCAGGACTCCCCAGACAGGAGGCTGCCCAAGTTAAATGGGTCTGGAAGATTTCCTGAGGGTAGTAGGCGAGGAAGGGCTTTAAGCCAGGGCAGGACTTGAGCAGATTTATCTGTACTTTAGGAAGATCATTCTGGTTGCAAGGTGGGAAGTAGTTTGGTTGGAGTGAGAGGGTCAAGAAAGTGACCCAGGTCTCTACAGATGAAGGAAATGGGAGCTCAGAAAAGTTTAGCCAACTTTCCTCAGGCCACCCAGCCTCTCAATGGCAGAACCCGATGAGAGCCCAAATCTCTCTGACACCAAGATTCGGGCCCTGCCTCCTCAGAAGGTGGGGTCTCGCTAAAAAGATGGTGTAGTCGTCCCCAAGGGCAGGTGCCTAACAGCCTAGGGCAGGCAAGGGGTCTTGCAGGGAATCCCAGGCAGGATGAGGCCTGGGGGAGGTCTGGGGACTGGGGGTCTGGAGAGGCCAACTTTGATCTTGAAGCATGAGTAGAATCTCCCAGAAAGGAGGAGGAGGGTGTTTCTGGCGCAGGACATGAACAAGGACACTGAGTCCCAGCGTGAGAAGCAGGGAGACGAGAGAGACAACTTGGGACAATCGTGGGACAGAGATAGGCAAGGGTGCGGGAAGCCTAGTGTGCCAGGCGGAAGAGTGTAGTCTTGATGGGGGGCAATGGGGAGCCATGGAGGCTCTGTGAGCAGGAGGTGACACAGACCAAGTGTCCAAAAGAGTGGACTGTCCCCAAAGACCTCAGGCCACAAGTGATTCTACCTCATTACAGGCTGCCATTCTATAGACAAGGAAGCCAAGGCTCTGAGACCTTAAGTCACTTGCCCAAAGTCACCTTAGCCACAAAACACTCAGCCCTTTGGAGCTCATTTCCAGCATAACTTTCCAGATGCCTCAGGCCAGCAGTCGCAGATTATGGGTTCTCAGAGCACACTGCACTGTTTTATGGCCCTCATTACAATTGTAATTAAATAATTGGGAAATGAATTGTTTTAATGTCTTCCTCCTCTGCTAGAATGTAAGCTCCGGAGAAAGCGTTTGTGTCTTGGGCCACTTCCCAGCCCTCGTACGGTGCTTTGCATGTACTGGAGCGTTTGGACATATCTGTTGCAGAGAGGCAGGGAGGGATGGGAGGGTGAGGACTGCATTACACTCTGTGAACTCTGGTGGCAAAATTCTGTCCTCCCTCCTCCCTGTCCTCCTCCCTCATGCCCCTCCCCTCCCCCCGCCTGCAGGTGGCTTCTGGCTTGGCGTGGACCAGGAGGGGGCAGAGGGTACCCTGTCTTGGACGGGCACCCTCTTTGGCGTGCTGGCCAGCCTCTGTGTCTCACTCAATGCCATCTACACCAAGAAGGTGCTCCCGGCAGTGGACGGCAGCATCTGGCGCCTGACCTTCTACAACAACGTCAACGCCTGTGCTCTCTTCCTGCCCCTGCTCCTGCTGCTGGGGGAGCTGCAGGCCCTCTGGGGCTTTGCCCAGCTGGGCAGCGCCCACTTCTGGGGCATGATGACGCTGGGCGGCCTGTTCGGCTTTGCCATCGGCTACGTGACCGGTCTACAGATCAAGTTCACCAGCCCCCTGACCCATAACGTGTCCGGCACAGCCAAAGCCTGTGCCCAGACGGTGTTGGCAGTGCTCTACTACGAGGAGACCAAGAGCTTCCTCTGGTGGACAAGCAACATGATGGTGCTAGGGGGCTCCTCTGCCTATACCTGGGTCCGGGGCTGGGAGATGAAGAAGATTCAGGAGGAGCCCAGCCCCAAGGAGGATGAGAAGAGCAGCATGGGGGTGTGAGCTCCTCTGGGGACCTGGGGATGCCCCAGTCAGGGAGAACACCTGGGGTGGGGCCAGAATGGCCGTGAAGACATCTCTCTCGACCCTGAGAAGGTGATCTGGAGGGGGCATTGTTTACAAACCTGATCACAATCTGGTGGTTAAAAAGGAGCCAGTGTTGTCAAGGGATGTCAGAAAGTTGCCAAACCTATCTCAACCCCCTGTCCTGTTTCTGGGTTTTGTCCTCCTCTAGGGAGGAGGGACCCCATGGGAACAGCCAGTTAGGTTCTCTGGAAGAACACTCGCTTTCAGGGAAGCATCACCCTGTCCCCCTTCCAGGGCCTTCTACCTCCACATGACCTTTGGAGTTGGGGACAGGCCATGACCTTTAAGAGACAGCAGTAAGTCTTCACTTATACTCAGGGGAGATGGGGGTGCGACCCCAGCACAGGCCAACTAAAGGGATTTGGGAAACCTCACATGTCTGGGTCCCAAGACAGGCAGTGAAGCTTTGATCCCACAAGTCAGCCTTCCTCTAGAGGAAAGTGTGGGCAGGGCTGAGGGAGGAAACAGACAAGTGTTCCCTCTTCTCTGCGTCCAGCCCAGCAGGCCCCATGGAAGGGCACAGAGGATCATTTGTCCTCAACCCTGGCCCTGGCACCCCCAGGGACTGCTGGGAACCGGCCTGGGAATCGGGTACCTCATGGGAAAGCGCCCTTTTCCCACCATCTGCACCCTATGTTCCCAGCTTTCGAACACAGGGAAACCACACAGCATGTTAGAGGTTACGGAGGGTCACTAACACCCATCCCAATCCCTGACACTGGGAAGTGTCATTCCTCCCCTCCTGAGGAGCACCTGGCCCAGGTGAGACCTCCTGGAGGTGGAGCCAGGTAGCCTTCCCCACTCTGCCTTTTCAGAGCTGCATCCCCCAGGGGGCTGATGGAGCAAGGGTCCTGGCTCCGAGCCTCCCACCTCAGCGGTTCTGTGCCATCCCCAGAGCCCGATCCCTGTGCAGGTGTTGTAACCTGGCTCTGATGAAGGTGATAAACTAACACTTAACGTTTCTTCCCTGAGGTTCGGGCTGAGAGAAGCTTCTCCCCTCCCCCCTGCCCCGTGGCCTCGGGACGGCCTTCACAACCCCTGTCCCTCCTGTCGGGAATTCTGTTCCATCTCCTTGGGGTAATGCCCTAATGTTTTTAGCCCCCACAGGAAAAGGTTGGGGAAGGGTGATCTTCTAATTCATGGTGGGTGGTTTCTAAGGAAGTGAGGAGGGCCTGATGCCCTGAATGGAGTGTGGATTTCATTTAAAAATGGGAGTAAGACATTGTAGTGTAAACCCTGACCGTTGGGGTTCTTTTCTTCTCTGCAAAGCAAGTGCCTGACTTAGCTCAGAGGGCTGAAGGCATCCATGTCAGAGATTGCCAGCCACCGGACGGGACAAGGAGCCAGGCCACCTCCCCCATTGGAGGTCCCTTGGTTTTTAAGATCTTGGTTGATTTCAGTAACTGATCATTTGGGCTGCTCGTTTTGTTTTTGTTTTTGTTTTGTTTCCTCTCTTCCTAAGACTTTGGATTTCCACGCTTATGTTTTGAATTCACCAATAAAGAGTGAGCCCGCAAAACCCTCAACCCCAATAAAAGCAGAACCCCAGGCCTGTGTGTGCTCTCTCACGCTCTCCCTCCCCCCCCGCCACACACATTCCGCCCCCCAACATCACTGTGTGGCCCCAGGTGTGCTGTGTAGTTTCCAGATTCTGTAAGTAATAAACCTTTATTTTTTCAAAGTTTCCTGATGGTTATTGCTGAAGGGTGTCTTGCAATCATAAGAACCGCAGGGGCCGGTCCCACCGCAACATTGCTTGTTGGCAGGCTGAGACCAGCACAAAACAGTGTAGTTGGCAGGATTGCATGATTGCCCTTACAGTTAACCAAGGGGAATGCCCTTGCTACCTGCCACCTGCTTACACCACCCGAGTCAGGTGGGTGACACTATGGAAAAGGAACTCGGCTTGCTGGGGGTCTGTCGCCTCGCCATGGGCTTTCTCATACTGCCTCTGTGGCATGTGGCCTGAGGTAGCCCCACCCGAAAGTTTGAGGCTGCCATGATTATCCAATGATCTCCCCAGAGCAGCGTGATCAAGGTCACATGGTCTAATGAGACAAGTAGACCACTAATTACAAAGGCTTTAACTGACTATTAATGCGCATAAGGGTCTTATAGATTCAAGGCCAAGGAGAGCTAAGGAGGGTGGGTTGGATAGCAAGGCTATCGTCACTACCTAAAAAAAAAAAAATAACGCGTCTATAAATGTCCTCAACATCTGGTTCCAATGCCTCCTAAGAGCCCTGAGGAGGTACACCAGCTCCTTGACAAATGCAGACCCTCGTGGGTGCTGGATGTCATTCTAGGTGTTATTCGGTGCCACGCATACCAACAAGCCAAGACTCTGCGATTGGGCTCCAGAGGCCTGGGGGCTTTTCCCAAAGACCCGGCATACATTGTGCTAGTGCAGGCAGATCCTAATCCTGGAGAGGTCTCTTGGGACACCCTGGAAAGGAAAGTGGCCATTTACGAAGAGGGTTCACTGTGACGTCATCCAAAATTGTCCAATAACAACAAATAAGGTTAAGGTAATAGGATAAAAACAAGAAGCAGAGGGTGCCTAGGTGGCTCAGTCACAAGTGTCTGCCTTGAGCTCAGGTCATGATCTCAGGGTCCTGGGATCGAGCCCCGCATCGGGCTCCCTGCTCAGCAGAGAGTCTGCTTCTCCCTCTACCCCTCCCCCTGCTTGTGATCTCTCTCTCTCTCTCTCTCACACGTGCTCTCTCTCAAATAAATAAATAAAATCTTAAAAAAAAAAACAAAACAGAAACTGAGATCAAAAACTATACCCGAACTGAAATTCAAACCTTTCCTAAGGATTTTATGCACAAGGAGATAGGGGAAATAATCGGCTATTGTGGGTTTTCTTACTCATTTGCAATAGGCTCTGAATTGTTACAGCTGCCAAAAGGTGTCAACTGCCTAATATCTCTAAAAACCCCCAAATCCATAACTTTCTTAAAGATCCATCTTGGCTGTATGCTTGGAAGAGACCCCACAGATCTTGAGCCCCCTTGGCTTTCCCCTGAACTGGGCAGAACTAAAAGCTCACCGCTCAAGGCATGCCTGCCACTAAAGGGAAAGTTGGCAGGGTTATCGGGGCCTCCAGTGAGGAGGAAGAGGGAAATGGGAAGGCATAAGCCCCTAAAGCCACTCATATTTGTAGCAGGGCCCTCCTTCTCACTTGGACGGTGATTGCCTGGCACTGTGCTCCATCCTTCCATCACAGTGATCACTGCTACGGTTCACAGCGAGTGGAAAACAGCGAGATGAAGCCCATCTCCCGCTGCATGAAATTGACATGATCCAATGGGTTTATCATTTCCATGACCACAGTGACCCAAATGACCCCCTCTTCCATTTCCAACCCTGAAGAGGCCCCATTTAACCTTAAGTCCAGAGAAGTATTTTTACAGGGTGCTCTCCTAATGACAAGGCAACAGTACTCCCTTTTAGTGGGACTGCGGTCACCACCCAAAGGTGCGAAATCTCCTAGAAGAAAACTTACCTTCTCTTTCTGTCCCTTGAATAGGTATGGAAATACCCTAGGAGGTAATTAGAGGTTACTTGTTGGCATGGAAATACCCTAGGAGGTAATTAGAGGTTACTTCTCAAGGACAAATACAAATCTTAAATGTCCTCTCCACAAATATTAGTAAAAAGCTGTAACCATCTGGGGCACCTGGGTGGCTCAGTCGGTTAAGCCTCCGACTCTTGATTTCGGGTCAGGTCATGATCTCAGGGCGTGAGACTGAGCCCCGTGTCCGACTCCTCACTGGGCGTGGAGCCTGCTTCAGATTCTCTCTCTCCCTCTTCCTCTGCACCTCCCCATCAAAAAAAAAAAAAAAAAAAAGCTTTAGCCATCTGAGCAGGTGAACGCATACTACAACTGACAAACAAAATTTGGATCCAACTGCTCTTTTATAAATTTGCGAGTTCTGCATTACCGTACCCGTCTCAGGGCTAAAAGTTTAAAACAAAAGCTGTAAGGCTCTGTTTTGTATCTGTCTGTATGTTTGCATGTGTCTGTATCTCACATTTACAACATACATGTGTATGTTGTAAGTAAATATATTTTGTCCTTCATTTGCCTCTTTCCCATTCTGAACTAAACAGTTTTACTTAAGGACAAATTTGCTTTCTTTTCCTTTAACAAAAATGTATCTCCCTACTTCATACCATTTCTTAGCCAAAAACACTTCCTTACTCTTCTTGCATAGTTTCCCTTATTATTTATACATAGGGCATTTCTACATTTCTACACAGGGCTCAGTCTCATGACCCTGAGATCATGACCTGACCCGAAATCAAGAGTCGGAGGCTTAACCGACTGAGCCACCCAGGTGCCCCAGATGGCTACAGCTTTTTACTAATATTTGTGGAGAGGACATTAAGCACCTTTGGGTGGTGACCACAGTCCCAGGAAAAGGGAGTACTGTTGCCTTGTCATTGGGGGAGCGCAACATACATCCATGTATATGTTGTAAATGTGAAATCTATTTCTACCTCTGTATGGTTTTACCAAAATTAACTTGTACAGAGCTCTATTCAATTGGCTAAAAAACAAGTGCATTTGTAAATTAAGGATTCTGAAAACTCTCAGAAATATAAGAGAAATTAACACAACTGTTTTTCAAGTTTTTTTATTTAATTAGAACAGCTATGTCTTTAGAGTGATCAGCATTTGGGCTCCATGCTGGGCATGGAGACTACTTAAAAAAAAAATACATTTAGAGTGATCAGCATTAAATACAATACTTTTATTCTAACTAGGTTTACTAAAGATCAAATACGTTCACGTTATCTCTGTTGCAAAATGTGTCAGCAAGAAAAGTTAGCTTAGGATGATGTCTGACTTTGTCTAGTGTCTACTGAAGTTTTTGTGGGTAGTCTAAACATAATTGTCGGGAGAAAAAGATTTTCAGAGATGTAAGCAGGATATGAGTTTTTAGGTGAACTTTCCAGCAACAGTTATGTATTATGGTATGTTTACTTAAAAATAGTTTCCCAAATCTTTGGGAGCTCTCACCCTTAGGATTTTGCGAAGTTAAATTAAATGATGGGAACTCATTTAATGTCTAGATCATTTCCAAACAAGATAAAATACTGACA